CATTGACATTATTAGTTTCAACAGTTTGCTTTTTTAATACTGCTCATTGTCTACAAACATGTTGAAGTACTAAGCACTGAAGTTTAGAATTTTGAAATTAACTGTGTTATTGCTCACAATTTCACATTTTATAAATGTGCAACATATCAGGAACAACATTCAAAAAGTAATAATTTTCTGCTTCACATGTTCCTTCTATGTGTGGGGGGGGGGGGCTGGAGGTTTAGAAATAAACCTCTCTGAGGCCTGATCATACTGGCTGAATTGATTTCTTTGCTTCTCTTTATTTTCTTCCCGTTTTGGCTACCTTCCTTTTCCTCACATGGCACTCAAAAGTGGTTTCCCCCGAAGGCTAAATTTTGCTCTTCCACCAATCTATCCTGAGTTTTGAAATTCTTTGCAGCAATAAGAGCTGCAGTGTCACAAGACTAAAGCATTGTCTTCCATTCACAACCTATCCAAGCCATACTCATCCCAAACATACTGTGAGACCAAAGCATTCATATGTTGCATGTTGGCTAAAAAGGAGTGCAATTTTACTTTTCTATTTAAAAGGGCACATCATATTTTTCTAATGAAAAACAACAGATGCTATGCTTTAAAGGAGGGTATATTAGGATAGGAATAAAGACTTTTTAAACATTAGGAAAATGAAAAAGCATGTTATATTCAAAGGCTCTTCAAACTTGGCAACTTCAAGACTTGTGGAATTCTACTCCCAGAATGCAGGCTGAGGAATTCTGGGAGTTGACATCCACAAGTCTTAAAGTTGCCAAGTTTGGAGACTCCTATTAAATTCCATTGTTCTGGTATTTAGTTCCTAAGATCCAGGCCAGCCCATGTAACAATTCATTTCATCCTCTCCTCCAACTTCTTTCCCATGCCTTCTTTTTCTTCAGTTTCTCTGTGTTTCAACAAACATCTATCCATTTCATACGAGTACTCTCTGTTACTGTAAATTAGGGATGTGCACAAAATAGTAATTTTACTATTTTTCAAACCCAAAACAAGCACATGACATGGCAGTAGTTCTGCCAAGCTGCTCTAGATCAGGTATATTTGGGCAGAAACTATCCCTACAGGTCTCTAACATGACTAACAGGCTACAATTCAACCCTAGCGATGTGGAAGGTTTTGGGGTTTGGAGGTCCCCTGCAACTGGAGATTTTTCATATTTAACTCTAGACAAGCTAGCATCCCCTCACCCACAGAGTTCATGAGCAATTTGGAAGTCCTCCAGATCTCACAAATCCTGCTCAAAGAGCAGTTGGCAACTATAGATAGGAAGACTTTTGCACAAATTTGCCTTGTATACCAGTTGCAACGGTTTTTGGACCAGGAGATCTGTTCATTGCGTTCCTGCCTTAATCACATCCTGACTGAACTATTGTATATGGGGGGGGGGGGAGAGAGCTGACTTTGAAAAACACTTGGAAACTTCCAATAGGTTCACAATGCAACAGTGCATGAAGTTAGGGTGTACTGAGATTTGCCTAGTTTTCACTGTTGTTACGTCTGCTGCCTTGGCTCCAATTATGCTGCAAGGTGCAATTCAAGGTGCTGGAGATTATCTTTAAAGCTCAGCTTGGCACAGGGCCATGTTACTTGCAAATTGACTATCTCTGAGGGTCTCTATCTGTTTCACAAGTCTTAAAGGGTGGGTATATTCCAGGCCCCATTATTTAAAAAATGCCCTCTTGTGGGACTAAGAAATCCTATCTTCATCTGAGATCAGAAGGAACCTGACCTTTCTGGCTTCTGGGAGTCTGTGAAGATCTTTTTTTTTCCCTCAGATGCTAGGCCAGGATGAAAGATGAGCCTAATATGTGTGTGATTTGCATGCCTGAGCCTCAGACCTTTTCTGGGAAAGAAGAAGGACAACAGGGTCAAATGATGGTAAAATTTCTAGAAGGGGTAAGAACCTGACCCCTATATCAAAATAGTTTGCTAACATCTTTAAATGTAAGCTACACTAGCTTTCATTCTGAAATGGCTTGTTCTTCCTTCGCTATGCGTCAACTAGGGGCATAATGCATTGGTGAACAAAGAAATTTAGCAAACACAACATGTCAGCTGCAGATCATGCCATCTAGTGATAGAGAACAGCAGTAAATGTTTCCCCGCTAAGAATTCATAAGCAATACACAATTGTTGTTTCCAAATTACATAGAACTGGCTGGGTCAATCTCTTCAAATCTATAATTTCAGGTGCTCAGCATAGCATACAGAAGCAGCCAGGCAGATGCCAAAGCAGTTCAACCATGTCCAGACTTCAGACTATGCTTTGAAATGATTGCAAATCATTATGTTGGTATGATGTTTTTAATTAACAATATATAGTTAATGCCACAACTCTATTTCCAGATGTCACTGAATTTACCAGAGTAATTGTTCAATACAATAAACAAACCAGACAAGTATTTCTAAAACATGGTATACCTGACTTTTTAACTATGGTTAGTTCAACCCATAGCTTGGAGTGATGTGTATAACGAACCTAAAACCCTCATAAAATAAGAACATAAACCTAATCCTATGTGTGCTTTACATGTGACATTTAGATATCCTGTTGTTTAACCAGAGTAATGTTTTGTTAATACACAAAATCGGTTTTTGTTTTTGAGGAAAATGGATTTCTTTTATGAGCTATTCTGTTGGGAAGACACAAAATATGACCTTATGAATAAAAGCCAAGGATACTTAAAGACCGTATTTCATTTTTACAGCCATCTATTTCATGTATAAAGCAACATTAGAAAGCAAGCTCTGTCTCCTGGGAATGAGATTCACTCTTATGAAGGAGCCTCTGAAAAACTGATCATAACGGTCCCAAATTCTATGCGTATTAATATCATAGAAGAAATAGCAGCATTTAAAAATACAACATGGATTCTCCAAAATTTACTGATATGTTATCCTGCTTCCGAAGATTAGGAAGTCTCCTGTAAAAGGCCAAAGATGTTTCCTTATCATTTCACAGAAATATCTTTATTATTTCATTTACAAAATAAATATCATAGCAACTGTAACAATTAGGAAATAATAACTATATATACTCAGGAGGGAACTTGCAATGTCATAGCACTCCTTTTGTGGCCCCACATTTCACTAAGACTGGGCCGTTAAAAAAAAATAACAAAAAAGTAGCTCAGTTTAGATGGTATGACTTGAAGGCATGTTTCAAATTTGGTAAGATTTACGAATGAGAATGGTAATAGTTTGCCTCTGGCTGACATTTCATATCGTAAAACTTCTTCCCCAAATTTAGCCATATTTTTTTCTGGTGATGGTACCATGGCACGACAATGCTACCTGTGCCCTCCAAAATGTTTGAAAGATAGACCTCTCAAAAGTTGCCAACTCCTTGTATACTCTTTGAATCTCTCAAGGGAACAAATTCACAGTAAAGCAAATACATTTAGATTTTGGCTCTCAAATCATGACAGCCAGGAATTATTGAAGCTGAAGTCCAACACATCAGTTATTGGTCATCACACTCACAATCTCATACAACAGTTCAGGATGAAAGTGCAATACTATGTATGGGGATCTAAAATAAACTATTTATGTGTCTGTGTGCCAATGAATCATTCCAGACTCCTGGAAACTGTCTGGACAAGTCCATGCAATTTTCTTATTTTTGAAAGTGGTGTGCCATTATCTTCTTCCAAGGTTGAGAATGACTGGTCCAAAATTACTTAACTGTCTTTGTGTCCAAGACACAAATCAGTCTCTTGGTTTTTAGTTCAATGCCTTTAATCACTACATCAAACTGGCTCAAAAGTAACTAGCATCACTAACATCAATACATTCTGCAAATAGAAGAACCAAGACAGACAGACAGACACACACACACTCCACCAAAGCCGCATACTGTGACATATGGAAGCAAATTTTATTTCATTTTGGGCAGAAATGCTGTTGTTGATATATTTGTGTGTGAGAAAGCTGGGTGAAATCTACTCTGGGAGAAACCAGATGCTGTCTTAGTCATACTCTGTGACTTGCCTTGGAAAGCAGTGGTTAACTGCTAAAATATGAACATATTTCACATTATTATCTGACAAAGAAATCAGAGAGAGTTTATGTCTAGTCCTGCCTTAACCATGAAAGCCAGCCGGGTAACCTCGGGCCAGTCATCCTGTCTCAGCTCAACTCACAGCACAGGGTTGTTGTGGGGAAAATAGGAGGAAGAAGGTGTGTTGGATATGTTCACCGCCTTAAGTTATTTATAAAAATAATAAAGGCAGGATATAAATAAATAAAACACAGAATAAATCTTTATCAGATGTCAGATCCTGCAGATGATCTGATGCAATTCAACCCAAAACACTTACACTGAAGCTACATAACCTTCAATAAAGAGTGCATTTTCCATTTAACTACTGAACTTTCCTCTTAAAGGAAAGAAGCACTTTGGCACATTTACATGGTGCTCAAGTGCAATCAGCACTTCAAGACATTATTATGATGGTCAGAACGCCACCTAAGACGCCAGTCATCTATAATTCCCTGTCCAATGAAAAATGTTTTATCATAGCCATTCAACTGTTTCTGGATTTCTAACTAGGCAAATGCGGTTCTAAAATTCCCCTCATAATGTGCTCCCTAGAATTAACATATAATATCTTTCTTTAATTAATTGTGTCACAGTACCTTGTTTAAGAGAAAAAACAATTTATCTATTAGATCATTGTTTCTCAATCTTGGCAATTTTAAGATGTGTGGATTTCAGCTTGCTGGCTGGGATATTCTGGGCATTGAAGTTCACATCTTAAAATTGCCAAGATCGAGAAACATTATATTAAGAGGAACGAAGAAGAGGAAAAGGAGGACAAAAAAAATATTCACAGCATTTCTTCTTCCTCAAAACACAGCACTGCAGAATGAAAAAGTCTATCCACAGCAGCAGAAGATAAAGAAAAGGCACAAGCATACTTTCCTAATGTAACTCCAAAGTGATGAACTAGCAAAACCCCTTTTCCCAAGAACAGACTTACCATTTACCCCTTTGAGACTGCCATTAATGCCATCATGCTGCCTCTTCTGTGCATTCTTGAATTCCTTTAGGGACAAATAAAGGACTTTTCGTACCACCCTCTCCTCTGACCACGGAATTCCATCACTATCATCCTATTGGGACAAAAGAAGTGAGAGAAGAAATTCACTTGAAGGATCTAAAAATGAACATTCACTTGCTTGAGAAATGGAGGTTTTAACAAAACATAAAGAATTTAGGATCATTAAAAGCCTAAAACACTAGAGGTCCTAGTTCTAAGTTTTTAAATGCTATCATCATCATCATCATCATCTTGTATTTAATTTTTGAAAGAAGCGTTGAGCTTTCGGCTGTTTTATTGGGTTCAAAAACTGATTTCTTACATTCTATATTGTAATCTTCTAATTCTCATTTATTCATTATTTCTTTCACTTCAAGTTTTCTTTACCCCCTTTTTCCAATTCTCCTATTCATATCACCCATCATGCTCCTTATACAGGAAACAAACTCTTCTTTCTTCAGTGATACCATTATCTACTTAAACTCTTGAAACATAAGCACATACATTATACAAGTCTTTTATGAACAAAATCTATTTATAGATCTTATATACATTTAAATTGGATACTACAGTATCAATATCCCTAATATGATTGGCAGCTGCTCTAAGCCATAGACCAGCGGTTCTCAACGTTTGTGTGACGGCGACCCCGTCACACAAACGTTATGCGCATGTGCGGGGCGGCGCGCATGCGCGGCGCCACCCCCGGAGGGGAGAAAATGGCGGATCGCCGCCTTTGGCAACCCCCGAAAAATGGTCGATCGACCCCAAATGGGGTCGCGACCCATAGGTTGAGAACCGCTGCCATAGACAAATAGCTATGCATATCTTACAGCATAAAAAGTGCTGCATATTTTCTACCTGTCTAAATCAAGTATCATGTATGAAGTACCTTTAACTCACACTCTTCCCCCAGCATTTTTTAAATTTCATCATGTCTCTGCTCCTTGACTTATCAGAACGAGTTCTTTGCCCTAGTCTTTTTCAAGGGCTGCACAACTGCCAAATGAGAAGATTAGTTTTTTGGATGACCTTCATTTTAGAAAGAATATCCCAACTCAGTGCCCCAGTTCAGTGAGAAATCAAAACACAAGCAGCAGTGATCCATTACAGAAGGCAAAAACTTATGCATTCTGCATGACAAACACAGTCAATCAGTTTAGAGTATAACATCTTTTAAATAAATTATTCAAGTTAGTGGCATTTCTGCTATTTAAAGCTCAGAACAAGTTACTGAAGACAAAGAACAAATGTTTATCCTAGTTCTATGACAGATAATTTGATTGTGGGAAAACCAAAACAGGGAGCAAGATAGCAAAACAAGTTAGCAATTTGGCAGAAGATTACATTGCACGCTAGAGAAATACTACTGTGCTACAGTGACAGAATATTAAGCCTAGATTGCTTTGAACATAAAGCATATGCAGATCCCAGCCAAAATTATAGCATTTGCAGAAAACTTTCCAAGAAAAACATGTCCCATCAAAACTTTTTGTTATACTATTCAGAATCAATCACTTTATTTAAAAAAAGGCTGATGCAAATGGTATCTATAAGCCTTAGCCCTCACATACTAAGAATAACAACTCCAGTTAACAAATACATTATTGCATAATAGGGCTATAAACAATAATCACTACATGAAAATTATTCCAGCTATTCTGTGGCATGGAAGAAGCCCCAGACCACATTGGAATTAACCGCTTAGTTTCTGAAAAACCAGGCCAGGTGAAGAGCCGGGGGTTGAGAAGGGATACAACTGTTATCTCATGTTGCTAAATATTAAGCTAAGGTTTTGAGAAGTAATAACTATCACAATCACAACTTTTGAAAAATGTAAAATAGATAAAGAATGCTCCCTATAGAGCAGTTTGAACAACAACTGTAAACTTTACAAATATGGAATGGCCCTAATTATTCTTAATTCTATGAGAAATGCTTAGTATTCCATCTGTAATACTCTATTATAAATGTGGAGTCCTCAGTGCTCTCCAAACTTGATTGTTTGCTTGCAGACAATTCATCATTTTTATTATGATGAAGGTGCTGTCTACATACTGGATCCATACATTTGGCTTTACAGTATATCTGGGAGTGCTATAGTTTCTAGATGCTGCATTACAGACTCTGCTATGAATCCTGAGAGAGATGATACCATGAGAGTTCCTCTGATTTATTATTTTATAATGCTGCCTACTTCATGAAGTGATTCTAGAGCAGGGGTAGGCAACCTTGGCTCTTTTATGACCCGTGAACTTCAACTCCCAGAATTCCTGAGCCAGCTGGCTCAGGAATTCTGGGAGTCGAAGTCCACGGGTCATAAAAGAGCCAAGGTTGCCTACACCTGCTCTAGACAGTGAACAATTTTTTTAAAAAAATAGAAGCAAATAAAATAATATAAATAGTTAAATACATAGCAGCGGAGAATAAAACACCAATTATAATAACTAAATTAACCACAAAATAGATTCCTGCACATAGTCAGGGCCCGAGGCCTGGACTTATGAAAAGCCAGTAAGGTAGTGGGACCCATCCTGTTCTCTGGAGGGAGAATGTCCGAAAGATGGGGGCTACAACAGAAAAAACACATCTTTTAGGCCAGGGGTAGGCAACCCAAAACACTCAAAGAGCCACTTGGACCCGTTTCCCACCAAAAACAAAACACTGGGAGCCGCAAAACCCTTTTGATATCTAAAATGAAGATAACACTGCATATATCCTTTTTTACCTTTATTATAGGTGTGTGTTTGTGTATGTGTATGTGTGTGTGTGTGTGTATATATATATATATATATACACATACACATACACACACACATTAAAAATAAAAGTAAAAATATCACTCTTGGGAATATCCATACTATTAAAACAATGATGACCAAGAGAATGCTTTAAGAGAATAAAATTACATACACACACAGGTTAAAAAAAAGGATATATGCAGTGTTATCTCCATTTTAGATGTCAAAAGGGTCTCTCTCTCTGTGTCTCTCTCCCTCCCTCCCTCTCTATCTGCCATTGGTCTGCCACTCCTCTTCCCCCACTCTCTTTCTTTCTCTCTCTCTTTTCTCTCTCTCTCTCTCTCTTTCTCCCCCCCTTCCTATCTGCTGCTCACCTGGCAAGCTTCAAGCTGTTGTCCAGCAAGCTCAGGGTAAGCAACCTCGTCTCTTTTATGACTCATGGACTTCAACTCCCAGAATTCCTGAGTCAGCCTAGCTGGGCTAGCTAGCTCTCTCCTGCCCTTCCTGCTTCCTGCTTCCTGCAGAGACGCAGCAAAGGGAGGAGCTCCGCCCAGTAAGCTTTTCAGCTCCTCAGAGAACACTGTGAGTGCACTCTCTTTTACACAGACACATACACACAGACAGACACAGACACAGACACACACAGACACACACACACACACACACAGAGAGAGAGAGAGAGAGAGAGAGAGAGAGAGAGAGAGAGAGAGAGAGAGAGAGATTGAAGCAGGGAAGCACAATTGCCTCTCTCTGTCTCTCTCTGCAAAGGCAGAGGAGGCTGGGAGCCACCGGGGAAGGCTCAAAGAGCTGCATGCGGCTCCGGAGCCGCAGGTTGCCGACCTGTGTTCTAGGCCTTGTCAACTATGTTCTTTAACCACAGGGACCCAAAGCATTCCCATCCTGCCTGATAGGATGGGTAGAAACAACTGGGGAGATATATTCCCTTGAAGAAACCTGGAGCCAAGCCATCAAAAGCCATTAAAGTGACAACTAGCACAGAATATTTGTATATTTCTACATCAAACCAAAAGTAGGCAGTGAGGCAGAGGTTGATGAGATCCATGATGCTACCTGGTTGGGTAATGAAACAACTACAAACAACTAACTACGCTCAGAGACCACCAAGGATTCCACAGTTCAACCCTGAGCTACATATATTTTATTCTGGTGGATCTGTTATAAGAAATAGTACCATATATAAATGTTCATGTCAAACTAAGAATAGATTCACAGGTAGAGTATGAGATTTTCTACCGTGGCAAAGGATTAAAAAGTAGAATATTAATGAATATGTTCCATAAACCCAGTTTTTCTTCTCTCTCCTTATCCTTGCCATGTACATCTTTAATCTATCTTTAATTAAAGATCATATTATTATTACCAGTAATAGCCAGTTAATAATAGAGTTTACAATTTGGATTCAAAATTGGGAATTTAAGTAAACCCAACTTACAATAGTCATACCTAATAACGATAGGTTAAATTAGCTCAATATAATTTTGTTAAATAAGAAACATTAAGCAATCATATCATAGCACATCATATCTTGTATCATATCACATATCAAACGTATTTGTAACAATCATGCCAGAAAAATACTAGTCCGATTGAGGTAGAGGTTGTATTTCTGTATTTTCAATAAGGGTTCAGGAATTAAAAGTATAAAATGTTTGGACGATCAAAACATATAATTGTGGGTTATTTTTATAAATGTGAAAATAAAAATAAAAAGTAAAGTGTTTATTTTTACTACTCTAGGGAAAAGCACAACATTGATAGAACTTCAGGATTGCATTCATATAAGGGATAAATGAGATTTCTTATAATCTAGATTGGGAGAAAATATGCTGCATACATTGCCCCTTTGTTCCTAATTCATATTGTATGTGAGCAGATAACATTAATAAAAAATGGCTAAGATTTCCGGATTTAAATAAGCTAAAATTGAAAGCCGGTAGCATATCTAGGTTAATAATTAGTCTATCCATTTGTACTTTTTAGAACCAACAAAGTAAACAGAAAAAACAGAATATGTGGCTGTGCAACCACTCCTAATATATTTTATCACTGTACTATCACTGTATATCACTGTGATGAGAGTTGGGCTAATCACTGATACATCAGTAATAGCCCAAAATGGGGGAATTGATGAGAGTTGGACACCCCCTCCCCAGTCCAACTAAGAAATAATCTAGGAACACCCCAACTAAACTGGGTCAACAGCAGCCTGAGGCTAAAACAGCAAACACTTGACACACACAATGAGGAACCAGCTAGCAGCAATCAGGACACAACAATAAAAGTAATTAACACCTTTTAGGCAAGAAAAAGG